TAAAAATCTTGCTGATCAGCCTCTGATAATTAGCTCTAGCGTTTTTTAATCCGAATGGCATGACTTTATAACAATAAGTCCTTCGTTCAGTAACAAATGAAGTTTTCTCTTCATCAACTGGGTCCATAGGAATTTGGTTATAACCAGAATAAGCATCCAGGAAAGTTAACCGCTCATATCCTGTGGTGGCATCTACCATTTGATCAATCCTGGGCAATGGGAAACTATCCTTTGGGTAGGCTTTATTTAGGTTAGTGAAGTCGATGCACACTCTCTATTTCCCATTCTTCTTCTGCACTACTACAACATTAGAGAGCCAGGCCGGGTACTGAACTTCTCTGATGAATCTGGCTTCAAGCAGCCGATCAACCTCCTCAGCTATTATCTGATTTCGTTCTGGAGCAAATCTTCTCTGCTTCTGCTTCACTGGCTTTGCATTCGGATCCACATTGAGGGAATGGCAGGATACAGCAGGATTTATCCCTGGCATATCTGAATGGCTCCATGCGAATACATCTGCATTCTGAATCAGGAAATTAGTCAACTCTAGTCTCTCTTCTTCAGTGAGTCTGGCTCCCACCCTTGTTGTTCGGTCTGGTTTCTCATGATCAATCTTTACTTCATGAAGGGGTTCTGTGGTCAGAACTGGTGGCTCCTCCCCCCCATCCTTGCTAGGAGGAGGGTTCTGTAATTGCTATTTCGGAATGGCTGAACGGATGGGATTTTTCCCTTTTCCAGTAGATTTCAAAGTTACTGAATAACATTCTTTAGCCGCAACCTGGTCCCCGTGTATATCTATCACCTTGGTCCCATCCGGACCCAAACATCGCATCACTTGATGTAAGGTTGACGGAACGCCCTGAATTTTGTGAATCCATCCTCTGCCCATCAAGAGGTTGTATGATGGATGAATTTCCACTACCACACAACTTTCAGTCAAAACCCGCTCAGCGGCTTGTACTGTCAATTCCACTATTCCAATGGGTTCCACTCGCTTCCCATCAAATCCAAGCAACGGATTTCCTGTGGGTTTGAGTTTTTCGGGTTCGATCTCCAGTCGGTCGAACGTCACCCTGGGCATGACATTCGCACTACTTCCTGGATCAATCAGGACTCTCCGAACCAGGCATTCTGCAATCGTCAGACTGACGACTAGTGGATCTTCATGAGGAATCTGAACGCGTAGCAGGTCCGTTTTATCAAACTTAATCGACGTGGATGTGTTCTGCAGGTGCAAAGCACGCACACTACCAATTCTTCTTTTCAGCTGGGCCTGGCGTAACCTCGTTCTAAGCAACTCCTCTGACTCTGTTGTTTGTTCAGGTCGGCCATGAATTGCGTTTATAATCCGGACGGGCTGAGAGTTGTGTTGGTTTGGCCTCTGGTTCCGCTTGATTTGTTCAGTCGGGCGGTTATGCTCTTGCGCCGGACCCTGAACATAGCTTGCAAACTCCCCCTTTGCGATCAGCATCTCTACCTGCCTCCTTAGGTTCCTGCATTCGTTAGTCTGATGCCCAAAATCACTATGGAAAGCACAATGTTTAGTCTGATCCCTCTGTTCAAGAGGTTGCCTGATTGGCAGAGGAGGACGAAACTTATCTTTGTTCTCCTGGTATAGCCTTGCTAAGGTGACTCTGAGTGGTGTGACTGATTCCTCCTCCCTGGGCCTCTTCTCCGCCTTCCATGAGGGGTGACGTTGCAGTTGAGCTTGTTTTTGCCGGATCTTGGCTTTGGACTTCTCCTTCGTCGAAATAATTGACGTCTTCCTTGAATTAGCTGCTTCTTCCTCCTCAAGGCGAATAAAACCGTCAGCTCTCTCGTTCAACTCGTCCATTGTCTTTGGCGTATTAACCACCAAGCTGGTGTGGAACGGCGTCCCCCGGTTCATTGCGAGTTTAAATGCTTGGACTGCTGTTGACGGGTGACACTCCATTACCATGCTTTTAACGAGGTTAAACCGGGTGAGAAAAGCTTGGAGCCGCTCATCCTCATGTTGCTTCATTGTAAAAAGGCTCGATACATCCTTAGCTAGACGCTTATTCCCGTAATACTGGCTTATGAACTTATCGCATAAGTCCTGGAAACTGGCGATTGAGCTTTGAGCCAGATTCTTGAACCAATTGAGAGCTGGTCCAGCCAAGCTCGTAGGGAAACACTTGCACATCAAAGGATCATTATTAGTATTCAAAGCCATTTTCAACTGAATATGGTATATGTGATCGATCGGATCGATTGTTCCGTCAAACAGAATGAAGATCGGCATGGAAAACTTCTTCGGAATCGGCGCGTTCAGAATTTCATCAGTGAACGGCGATGCGACTGTCCTTGCTGAGGAACGCAATGCTTCGTTTTCTCTTAAAAACCGTGACGCAAACCCTCGATCGGCAGATCTCCTTTCTGAGCTATGGTAATCAACTGTCACTAATGAAGGTCGGTATGGCGGATCGAACGACCTATCCTCCGCAAATTCACTCCGCCATGGTGACGCAATCCTATGCTCATATGCCGATGCTTCCTCCCTCATAATCCGTTTGTGATGCGGTTCCAGACGAACAGATCCTTCTCAGTCCTCTACTCGGCCGACATTCGGAGGCAGATTACCAATTATACCTTCATCACGACGTGGACCACCACGGTTGATATCTTCTGGATCACCTTGACGATCAGCTTCGAACGGTAAAGCTCCCTCTCCTTCAGGAGGCGGCCTTAAAATTGCAGGAGCCTTGCGATGCTCCATTCCAGCTCGTAGCTCTGCATTTTCTTTCCTCAAAGCATCGATCATGTTCATTAGCTCATCGAGCTTCGTCTGCTGGCCGTTCTCCAAAGAATTCAAGTTCACCTCTCCGATCATCATTCCAGATCGGAGCAAAGTCATCAACTGCAGGCTTCTTGATCAAATCGGAGTTCCGCTAACGCGCGCACACCAGATCTGAACTTACACTTGCCGAATTTGGTCCACTACAGGCCGGATTCAGTAATCATAACAGATCATAACCACGTAGTCCGCCGGATCAAGCACGGATCTGATCTGCTTGAATCGGACGCCAATTTTCTGAAATCAACCGGAACTTGGACTCGTCAAGACAGATCGTATTATTACCAATGTTGATTCAGCTTTCGCAGATTAATCGTTTTCCTCGCAGAATGCGTTGAATCGATCTGATCTGGAATGATATCAATCAATCCTTCCTGTTCTTCCCACAGACGGTGCCAATTGAAAGTACAAAGAATTTTTCCCTAATTGTAGAAAGAGAAACTTTACACTCCCGATGATTTTTCCAACCCCTTTTCCGTCTCAATCCCCTCTATTTATAGACAGTTATAACCACCACTGAGCTGGTCCTATCTTGTTCTCCTTTGGCTGGACTCGACTTCCCTCATTTTATCATGGGCTTCTGAAATGACTTTATGGACCTGGGCCCATACGGCGCGAACTTGCTCCATCTCGTTCGTCCACATCCGACCCGTCCTATGCAATGTGGATCACACCAGACCCAGGTCATTTTGGTGTCCTCACAAACAAATTCATTGTTTTAAACAGCCATAAATTACTGCTATGAAAAAGAATGTTTAAACTTGTACAGGAGAGATGGGCAAAGCACATCCCGTACTGTGACCAGGACAAGGAGAGGTTTAGCGTTTATAATGTCCCAAAACGGCCAGGTGAGCCAAAATGGTAATTGACCCAATTTTGTAAATTTTGTTTTATTGAATTTGGATCTGGCGAGGTTAATAAATAAATAACTAAAAGAAAAAGATGAAAAAAAAATGGTAAAGTGAGGTCTGCATGAAAAATAGTGGATCCCCCTATTATTTTTCACTGTATGGTACTTCCAAGAAGTTTGTGGTGTTTGTGATCTGATCTATGTATTGTATACACACTTCAGTATATTCCCGTCATTCTTCAATCTATTCAAGTATTTAATCAATAAATTAATAGACTAAATTGAACTAAACCCTCTGTTATTTTAAAAAGTGGCAAAATACATTTTATTACCAACTAATTCCATTGTGCTTTCAAAAGTTACAAAGTGCCCCCTTTTAAAATTTCCAACACTTCACTGATTATTTTGATAAAAATATTCTTTTGCATGAGCATTTTGGCCAAATTTAAATGATATGAGGCTGATGAGATGAGGTGAGACGCTTTGTTTGTGGAATGTATAGCGAAAGGATATGAGTGCAAGAAAAAAATAAAAATAGTGAGCTTTGTCCAATTGACGTGTACGTGTGTTGTGTCATGTGTGTGATGGTATAAGTTTGTCATTATTTGACCAGGTCTTATATTGTCTAATTTTAATAAATTGTTTAGTAGTCATTATATTTGTATTCCATAAGTTTTTCACTTTCTATCGATTGTTTGTTTTGGCATCACAATCACATGATGAGTCAAAAGTGGTAAACCTAAATCAACAAAGTCCGCCTCCTATTTTGTTGGTTAGTAAAGAAAATAATAAAATAATAATAATAAAGCAAAAAAGTTGCTTAAAAAATGGTAGTCCAATGCACGCATTTTGTATTTCTTTTAAAAAGTCATCCAAGAGGACAAACATTTATTATATTATATATTTTTTTATCCTTATAATTTTCTGTATTTTCCCCCAAACGCCCTCCAATTGTCGTGAAGATCAAACCCTGAGAAACGAAAGCACTACTGCAAATGTTAAAACACAAATTAAGGTACGATGAATATAGACATGATTTTGAGAATAGACATGATTTTGAGAGAAAGTATAGTTTTTTTTTTTTTTTTTAAATAAAAATAAAATCATCAATGGAATTATAGAATCACATTCCAAACCTGAATCTAACTGGAAAAGTTTAATTCAAACATAATATTGATTTTAATTTCTGATTTAACTGATTTTAATTTGTGATTGGGTGGGTGTCCTAGTCATATAGACTAGCCTTTCCACAATAATTGGCCCCACGAATTTAGTTTAGAGGATCCTAAGCCTTTCGATAAATGTAACAGATTGGTCATGGTGTTTCACTAGTACTACATTATACTTCTTGGAAAAACATGGTAGGTGAATATATAATTATATATATATATATATAGTATATAATATCGCCTGTGAGTGTGGCCCCCAGAGTCTATACTCTGGAATAGGACGCTATAAAAAAAAAAATCTTCTATTGAAGCCATACAAACACACACACAAACGACGGAACAAGTGTGTTTGTTCCGTCGAATGTAAATGGATCGCCAACTCAGGACGTCTGACTCGGCGGTGACTCTGGCGGTGCTTGATGATGCCACTCCCAATCATCACTTTCAACGGCGTCACCGCACTATTCCATCCACTCAGATGAAGGTATCATTCCCACGAGTAATACTGTTTTTTGTAGCTTCCTATATATATAGATTACACTCTGCCCCTTCTCGCTTTATATGTCTATGTATCTATCTTCATGTGATTGCATAAATTTGATGGACATGCATAGATTTGTGTTTACTTTGAGCAGATGTTTTATTTTTTATAAAAAAAAATTAATTTTTTTTTATAAAGAATATTACTTTTAAAAGTGAATTATTTTTAATTGTGATAAATATATAAAATATTTGGTTCAGGAAACGAGTAGATGGGAAAATCTGAAACTTGCTTACAAGACATTGGGAGTTGTTTTTGGAGGGCTTGTGACTTCCCCACTTTATGTTTACCCTTCAATGCCTTTGAAGATATTGCGATCGCAACCTAAGGCTAGGGTTCTGGCTTCTCTCGATAGAACGTCACCCCTCCTTGTGATGATGAGAATGGATTTAGAGTTTTTGGTATCAAGAACGTGAGATTGCGATTGCAACCGGCTAGGGTTTGTGGTCGTTCTCTTAAGAACACGAGGCTGTAACGACCCGGTCATTTACCTCCCTTTCCTTTTTCCTGAAATTTTACGAATGAATTTTTTTCGTTTAATTTTCTTTTCTGAACTCTGTTTCTTGTCGCTTAGTGTCGTCTCGAGTATTTGGAAATGATTTCTGAGACTCTTTTCCGTGGATTGACAACTTCCTTTGAGGACCGAGTCATTTCAGCATTTTCGCTTTTCGAACACTATGCGCTATTTCGTCCTTTTCCCTATTCTGTCTTATCTCCGTTTGTCACTTGTTTGGTAGAACCTCACTTTTTGTGCTTGGAGTTAGTTTTTGACTTCACATACCTTCATCTTCAGTGGTTTTCTTGAAATACGTATCTTTACTTTTGCAAGAAAGTACTCTGGTTGCTCCTGGTGTCCACAGGGCATAAATGCACAATTATTCAGAATCTTTTTCATTTCTTGGGGTATTTTTCGTAAATATCTTTTGAAAATATTTTATTTCAGGGGTATCTAAGAAAATATCTTTTGGTTTGCAATAACTTTCGTTAATTGCACAATGGCCCCTACAAAAAGGGTTAACTACGAAACTGTCCCAGAATAAAAATATCCTCCAAAAGATATTTTTATTCTGAGACAGTTTCGTAGTTAACCCTTTTTGTAAGGGCCATTGTGCAATTAACGAAAGTTATTGCAAAATGTCTCGTCTGGAGCCTGGATTCTCGTACGGGATTCATTTTCACATTTTTTTGAGTCATGGACTCTTAGAATTCCGTTCTGATCGTTTTTCTCCGATTTCAGAATTTCTGGACCCAGTTGCCGCCGAACTTGTTCAGGGCATATCTCTCTGCTCGGGACTCGGTTTTCAACGTCGTTTCTTTCATTGTTCATATTTTCTCATTTTGAATCTTTTTCGTTCATGGAGTTTTACCGTTTGAGCGCGTTTGCTTAAATTTCACTTTTCCGGACCCGGCGAGGCCCTTTCGGGGCACTTTTTGAGATTTTCTATAAAAAGGGGACTTAAGGAGAAAAATCAGATTTTTCATCATCTTCCCTACCTCTCTTGGCCGGATCTCCTAGCATCCATGGCTGCCACTTCCTCTCTCCTCCTATGATCCACTTTTCCTTAGTAAAAATTCTTCGGCCTTTACATTTGTTATTCCCCTCGACGTACTCTACCTTTTGCCCTTATTAGAATTCATTTTTGACTATTTCTTGAGTTTGGGCTTGAGGTCAAGTTGTAATTTTCATGGGACTTCATTCGGATTCATGTAGATCGTGTTGTCCCCGACAAAACCCTTCGCTTTCGGCGAATTCAGAACACTTTTTTTTCAGTGGGGATTTGAGGTTTCATCTCAAATTGAGGTAGGAGATGTTATAATTTACTTTTCTTGTCATATTACATGCTATGGATGCTTGTACTATTTGTTTACATGCTTGGTTATTAAATCTAGAAATTTTAATTAATTATTTCTTTGTGTAAGATTTAATTTTCCCGGTTGCTCATGACTTGTTTTAAACATGTGGTATGATATTAAATTACATCTTGATATGGTCATTGACATATATTAAATCTAGATCATTTGGACAAATAACGAAAATTTTATTTAATATTTATCTTGAATAAATATTTAATTTGTGTGGCCTTAACTAGTTTGAAATCGATATGTGTTAGCATATTAAATTAGGCCCTAACATACTCTTCAACATATGTGAATTTGAGAATATTTGATGATGTTTTAAAATCCAGAAACAAATGATTAATTTGATTAATTAATTTATTCCGAGTGTACTATTCACTCCATTGGATTTCCGACTTGATAATCTTGGTATGCATGCCATATAGTTTCACATATATTTAATCGAGAACATTTGATTAAGTTTTGAAAATCTTTTGTTTAATTATTTTTCTTGTATTAAAGTTTAATACTTAAGGCCGTAACTTGCATGAAATGTACTTGTATTGTGTTCTTAAATCAAGTTATGACATGTTGTATAACATATGTTAAATTGAGGTCATTTGGAGGACTTTCAAAATCTAGAGATTTTAATTAAATGAAATAATTAAAATCCATTTAATGGTTCTATGCACTTGATTAAGTTTCTAACCTTGTATTCATGATTTCCTTGATAAGTTTTTTCATGTGTATTACATTGAACATAATCGAATAAGTTTTGAAACTTATATTTATTCATTTCCTTTGTATGGAACTTAACTCACAAGGTTGTGTCGTGTATGAAATGAACTTGAAACTTGACATTGAACTTGGCCTTGACATGATCCTTGACATAACTTGTTCGTAGAACATTTGGACTTGCCATGTAACCTTGATAATTTAATCCCTTAAGTAGATTAAATTTCATTTTATGTCTCCCTCAAGTTAATTATGTCTTGATATCATGTATCTAGACTTCTTGTATCTTGGTTTCATTAATGTGCTTAATGAACATGCTCATTTGTTTCGGAATGGTTTATTCACACATGTGTTGTTTAGTATACAATTGAATCATGTATCGTATACTCATGGTGTATTTGTTTCGATGGATTCCATGTGTTATTTATCTTGGTTGTGGTCTATATAAATGCACACATTGATTTCTTGACATTTCACATGCCATCATAGTTGAGAACTTAGGGTATGACTTGTGTGATCCAAAATCTTGGTTGTACATGATATGTAGTTAATGCATTTCTTGTATTTTGATACAATCTTGACTTGCATAACTTGTTGATTTTGGAACTTGGGATATCAATCAAGAATTGACATGGCTAGGACTCGGGTCTAGTACGGGGGAATGTCCCTCTACACTATAGTGCCCACTAGGGGAAAGGTACCCATGGGTTAGTAGCCCTAAAGTGATCTCAAGAGTACGGTTTTAATCCGGGCAATATTCAAGTTTCCACATTGGTTGATTTCACTCTTTAAATTTCAAGTTGCTATTCCTTGAAGATTTAAACTTGTCGTGTATGTGAAATGCACCAATCTTGTCTCATTGCATCGATTTTATGCTTCATTCGTGATTTAACTCCTTAAATTTTAAGTGTTGTATTCCTTAAAGATTTAAGACTCTTTTCGTGTTATGTGGTAGATTCTACCTATGTTTAAATGCATAGATATTATGCCTTACTCCTGACTCCATGTATCTTCCTTTCGTGTTTTATGGAATATCCCATCTTTGTTTAATTGCGTATATATTATGCATTATCCTTGATGTCATGTGTAACTCTTTTCGTGTTATGTGAATGGTTCCAACTTTGTCTAATAGCATAGATATTATGCCATGTTCTTGATTTCGTGTATTAACCCTTTCGTGTTAATTGGAATGCTCCAATCATGTTAATTGTATTGATAAAGCAATTCATGTTAATCTATGTTCTAGTATCCTTTTGTCATGTTGTTTGGAATTATTCCAAGCCTTACTTAATTGTATTGATAATGTAATTCATGTTAATCTATGTTCAAGTAACCTTCTTGTCATGTTCTTGGATTATCCCAACTTTGACTTGTTTTATATATATATATATATATATATATATATCATGATTCTTGTTGCTTATACTCCATGGTAGCTTAGGATGATCCCTGAGTCTAATCATTGATATAGACGTTAGGTGGCATGATCTCTTTTGAATTATATCATGTTAGTTATAAAAATCTCTAAAGAAATCGAGTCGATGCATGCTCATTCTTTACGAGTAAACTTGTTTACTCACCCCGAAGTTACTGGAGGATTTGATCAGGTACGAAGACTTGGTTCGTGATGCTTGCTGTTCAGTGGGATGGCTTCTAGCTTTTCAGTTTCTATATCATGCAAATGTTAGCATGAAATACTATTTCATAGCATTTTGTATAAAATAAGTATTCTTTGATTCCATATATGTAAAGCGTACATAAGTACACTCTATGCAATGTATTTAACTTGTATGAGATAAGGCCGTAGGCTAATGACATGTATATTGTATCCTATGTACTTTTTAACTTCATGAAATATTATGAAAACCTTGAAAAATGCCAAGTTATTGTTTTGCTATGGTTGCATCGGGTGTGAGAATCCGTTTTCCTTCTTTCATAGGGTCTCATTAATCATATATGAAGGGTGGCCAAGGGCCAAACGGTCATTTGAAACCATTTCCTAATTTTGGTTTTCACTTTTCACATTTCAAGTTAATTTTCGCCTTTTTAGCCGTTGGGGGGTTGGATTTTGACTCGGCCATTTTCGGGAGCCGCAGACCATTTCCGCGCACTCAAAATCATCATTTACGTTTGCGTGAATGATCGTTTCCATGAAAACCCCTTTCGTTTGTGTTTTGAGCCTCCTATGGACTCATTTCACCTTTTTGTTGAAAAACTCGGCCCAAGGGCATTTTGGAGATTTTCTTTGGGGAATAAATTCCATTCTCAAGTTCGTCACGTAGAAAATGTGATTTTAGGGGGAGTTTCTTCACGACATTTTTCCGAAAAATGTCATCTTGACCTCGAAAATCGTGCTCCAAACTCATTTTTCTGCTAAAACACTGTTTCTGCTGCATTTTTAGCATTTTGTTCAAGATGAACCGGTTCAAGGTGTCATTTTGGTTCAGCTTGGGTATACTACCAATGTTGAATTGGTCTAATAATGTTGAACCGGTTCAAGTCTTCCAGAGTTTTCAGTTTTGAACTTCCAACTTCAATCTGACGTAACTTCTTCGTTTCAACTCGGAATTGGTCCGTTCTTGAGTCTAAACTGACAGCGTCTAAGTAAGCTTTCCAATGGTACCAATTTCAACTTCAGATTCTTTTCCTATCTTAAGATATCCTCATTTTAGTGAAGGGTGTCGGATTTGGTTCGAACCGGGATAGGGTTCAACTGGGATTTCAGTTCCTTTGGCCTTGGGACTTCATGTGAAGTTTCCAAAGGATGGTTTTGGATGTTTTCAATCTAATTTGACTTGTTAAAAGTTAAATTCCTTCCTCCTTGGGTAAAATGACCATTTTACCCTTGGTCATTCTTTTGGAGGGGTTTTGATGCCCTTGTCTTCGTTTTGTTTCCATTGAGCCTCGAAACTCTATCAAAGTCCATTCCTGTGTCTTAGGGATGACGTACATCTCTAAGGACTTGTCCTTGTTTTGCTTCCGCACTTTATTCATTTGGGTTCCGTGACCTCATGGGAGGTTATCTTAGGGTCTCAAAGGTGTGTTGTGCCTTGGGAGACCGTTGTTTCATTTCTTGCTTCCACATCTGGATCCGTTAACAGGTCAATTTTCAGTTCATCACTGACCCACCGGGTTGAATAAAAACCCGGGTCGTTACAGAGGCAGTGATGATACAAATGAATGGAAAATGGAATGATTTAAAGTTTTAATGAAAATGGGTGTGCTGCTTGCAAAACGACGTCATTGCTTTAGTGTGTCCTTTTTGGTCTTTTTACAAAAAAATTTATTTTTATATATTTAATAAAATGCTTTAGTAAGGGTATTTTGGTCAATTTAAGTTTTAAATGTGTGAGGGGGACCTAATTGCACTAAATTGAAACTTCAGGGGTGTT